ACCTTTTACACTCTGTGACCTACTCAGGTTACTTAACTAAAAAACATGAAGTAACCTGAGCAGGCTACACCTGGACCCATTAGGATTGAGGCCCAGCCCAACAACTACTGCTGTCTCAAATTACATCCCCTGGCCAGGGCTGTCACAGACACAGTTAATCCCTAAGGTATACCTACATACAAAGAGGTTTGCTTCAACCTTGTTGTGGTATCCTCTTAAAAAGACCCAAATGTAGTCATCTTAATCAATACATCCATTAAACTGATATAACTTTTTAGGTTCTCCATACATTTAAATAAATATTATGATAGAAAGCATGACTGGAATTAAAGCGTCCCCAATGAGTCACACAAATACTAAATGATTAAAGTACTTACAGCTAATTTTACTGTTTTACTGGATGCAGCCATTTATCTCACAATGTTTAGTCTCCCACTAGATTTTATGCTAAACATCCAGTCCTGAAAGTTAATGTCAAAGCATGATTTAAAAAAAAAACTTACTTTTAAATGATGCTAGGAAAGTTATAATGCACTCTGAAGTTGTGGATGTTCCTACATAATGAGAGCCCACTGCTGTTTTTTTAAAAGAGCATTTAAACAGTTAAAGTTAAGCCAAGAAAGTCTGCAGGCTTTTTTTTCTGGTCTTTGTGCCAGATTTATGAAAGTCATTGATCATCTGTTCATCCTGAAAGGGGTTCTCTTATTTTAAATGTTTTAGATTTCAGATCTTTCAGCCATTTCTCTTTCCAAATATCTTGAATGGTATAGTAATGGACAAGAGCTCAGACAAAGTCAGGTAAATTAGTTTACTCTAGTTGTGAAATAATCTGGATTTTAAATCTAGCATGACTATCTAAGCTTGTGAAACACCACACAGCTAACTGTGCTCCACCCTCAGAGGAGTTGCCTTACTTTAATACTTAGAGACAAAGAGAGGGCTGTGGCTCGGGCAGGTCCAGGCGCCGCTGTATCACACACCCCCCCCCCTCACTGTGTGCTTTGTGTGCCAGATTTGCTTCTACCATCACAGCTATTCTTTAAGCATCTGATGGAATGTTTTTGCCCCTTTGGTCTAGAAAGTGATATATGAGGAGATGCATACATGACTCAGGTCTTTAGTCTGTGTAGATATCTTTGAAATAATATGATGTTGTGGCTTAAAAAAGCATATACAATAGGGGCAACTGTAGGCAGTTTACTAAATATTTGGATTTTTCTTATTTCTTTGGTTACACAGCTGTTCACTTATTATGGCATATTTAATATATTAGGAATTAAACATAATAGGAACACGCTTAATAATGCTATGTTATGGTTCTCCCCTTTTGGACTTTGAGTTTTTAGTTTTCAGTTATCTATATCATTTGGTATTGTTGTCTAGTTGATTTTTGGTTTATTTTCCATTTTATATTATATTGAAGCTGTGTTTTTGGAGTTACTCTCTGTTGCCCCCTTGTGCCTGTCTCCTGTCCCCTAGCTCCATTCTAGTTACTTCTATCCACACCTGCTCCATATCAGCTCATTAGTCCATTCTTTGTTCTGTTCCCCATGTAAACACCTCCTCTGCAGTTCCTCGTTGCTGGTTTCTTGTTGTTACTCGGCTCCCCGTGTGTTTTCCCCCAATGTCTCCTGGTTTTTGGTTTCCTGTATTTTGATACTTGGGCTTGGTTTTAGTTGCCTTTTAGATTTCATTAAACCTACAGGAACATATCTCTGCCTCCCTTATCTCTGAATTTGGGTCCTCAACCAACTTCCACCCAACTCTCACATGCTATTCTTTTAATGATGAAGCTTCACAGACAGAAAAGAATAGAATCATTGTGAGTCATTTATCAACACAGCTCATTCATGAAAAATGAACATTTAACACCATGAAGCAGCTATTATGAGGCCATAAATTTTCACCCAGCAACTGAGTCAAAACCCAGTGGCCTCAATGTTCGCAACCCTCATGTACTCTACTTAGGTTGAGTATTTTGTAGAACTAATACTCACCGATTGAGTTGATGATGCTGTTTGTTCTCCAACAAATCTCAGAAGTCGTGACAGAAAAGCAGCATATAAGATCATCATAGAATATGCTTTATTTTTCCCTTGGGGAAATTTTGTCATGGACTCAAAATTGTGTAACGCATAGTAGCAGCTGCCATTAGAAAACAACTGAATGATTGAATTACACACAGTAGTTTATATATGAAATCAATAAGTAGCACTGCATTTTCTTTAGATCGATTGGAGTTAAAGTTCCATACAAACGGATACGTCTATGATTATTTTGAAGCCATATCTGTATATTCCTTGCACATCACAATTCATCACGACACTGCTGTTGTTTATCACAATAATCACACTAAATCAGTGGTCTGTGGATGTGATTGATGAAATGTGAAAAAGGTCAAGCAGTATAAATCCCTGTAAAAGGCTCTGTAAAAACATTAACAAAATATACTGCACAGGCACACAGAGTTACCAGGAACAAGATCTCTTGACTTAAGGATTCCATAAAAATTAGATTTTCGAATAATGTGTCTAACATTATCAGGACATTTGTTTAATGAGGCCAAAAAGAATGTGTATGTGATTCTGATTCAATTAGTCTTAGAATATGATTTAAATGGATCTTATACTCTGGAATCTAACAGAATTCAACTGAAAGTTTAACTTCAGTGAGTTGGAACTAAATTGATCTAGCTCATCCTGTGAACCAACACTTAAGTATTTAACAGATGTGCAGAGGAACTGCATTCCTCCCCTGACCTTTTAATTTTCTGCAGTCCCTTTTTCCACAATTATTTGTGCCTTTTATAGAACGGCATGAGGGCAGTTCCTTTCACTCTCTCCTTTTTCTCTCTGCCCACTTTCACTGTACAGACAAAGCCTGCGTTGTCTGCTGAAATTCTGTGTTGAGAGGACAAGCTTTGAGTCAATGTCTCACTGAATGCCTTGGAAATCATCTTGTGAAGGGAGTCTCCTCAATTGTGGGCCTGTGCCTTGTTCAGTGTTGCACTTCTGGTTTTGTGACTCATGCATACTAAAGCGAAAAGACACTACAACCATGCGGATGCTTTATTTCAAGGAATTCTTCCAAAGGGATTGCTACTTTAAAAACCAACAAATTTTAATCATTAAATATTGAAACAGAGGTTGTATTTTTTATGTACTCTAAATCTGATAGGGATTTGTTACAACTTTAAATATTTGAATAACTCTCACCCCTGCCACTTCCACTCAGGATCATTGTCTCTGCTACTGTTCTCTGGAGTGAAAGAATGGAGGCCGACATTTACGGCAAAGTGAATATCAAGAGCAACATAAATGTTTGATGAAGAAACATGAAATCTACAATTGGAGCAAGTGTGCAGATTATTTTATTCTGTTTTTTTATTTTATTTTGCCAGTGTTTTCTCTGTGGTAGAGCTTGTGTGTTTCTGCCTGTTTCCAAGGGAATTTAAAAGCAGCCTTTATTATGGTGTAACACTGAGGAGATTTACTGTCAGAGGGGGCCAGTAGTCTGAAGCACCAATTGCTGCACATGCACAGTGACTTGCAGAGGTATTCACTTAATTCATTCCTCATTTTGTATTGGGTAAACCATGTTTTGCTGCAATTAGAGCTGCAGGTCTTTCGGGGCATGTCTCTACCAGCTTTGCACTTCTGAAGACAATGGTACACGATAGTTTTCTGTTTCCCACCCGTATATTATGGTGAAATTTGTAAAGTCCATTAATAATAGTTTTCCTTTTGACAACTTCTTCAAGCTGATCTAAAGAGCCTCTTTACAGCCTCTTTCAAGCCACCAAACTACTCCTTTCTGATCCTCTGATTGATGCTCTTGATGCCTAACCTCTCAGTTGGGTTTGAGACTATTGTGTTAGTGCTGTATTGATGGACGAAGCAATTATTTGCGAGACACTTAAAACTTAGGGTATTGTTTTAAAACAAATCTACAATAAACTCAAGTAATACCCTTTCTCTGATGTGTTTGCCAAGTATTTGGTCTTCATAATACTACCGTATTTGTTCATCAATGTTCTCTAACAAACCTATGAGGCTTTTGAAGGACAGCTGGATTTCTACTTGGAGTGCTTTACATAAAGTGGATTCTGTTCAGGTGCCTTAGGAAGAAAGTCAGCATTTTACTGATTTTATTTAGGGGTATTAGAATAACAACAGTTCAATATAAATGCTCACTAAGAATAAATAATCCAACCATTTTTTGCATCTACTTAAATTGAGTTACTTTAATATAATTGTTTTATGTAAGCAGAGCAGGAAATATAACAATTGTGTTTGGCTGTAACACCATCCTTGAGAGAAATATCAGCTGTGCAGCTGCCAACTCCTTTTTTATAGATGATGGAGCTCGACCTATTTTTCAGTGTAGTGCTGTTTCTCTGACTGTGACTGGCTGGATGTGCTCTCTTTGATCCTCTGACATGGGAGTTGGCTCGGAGCTGCCTGGCTGTGTGTTATCTGGATGGGGGCAGCTTGTGGAGGTGGTTGACAGTTACTTTTTGTATCTCTGCTTCTGTCTCCTTGAAACCCAGTCGGCCTCAGCAGATGGCCGCTCACACTAAGCCTGATTCTGATAAAGGTTTCTTCCTGTTAAAAGGAAGTTTTCCTCTCCACTGTCACTACAAGCATGCTTGGTGTGAGGGAAAGCCTTCCAGTCAGTGAGTCGATGCAATCAACTGATTTTCCTTAGATATAAAACTTTGAATCAACTTGACTGTATGATCTGGTAAAATTGTCTCTATAAAGTGCATTGGGATGACATGTGTTGTGAATTGGCACTATATAAATAAACTAAATTGAATTATATATATTTGTTTCATTGTAGGTTTGTAAAAAAACAAAAACAAACCGAAAACCCTATTCCTCTTCCAAATGATGTATTTGTTGTGTTGTTGTTTAGAGGTGTGGTGGGTTGGTGAGTGTGGCAGACCAAACCCCAGTAGGAGGGGCTGCCTGTGGACAACACTCTGCCCTCAAAGTCCCTCTCTGTCGCGCTCTGCACCTTCTGCACTCACCTTTCTACACTCCAAGGAACTTTGACACCATGGAGGGCTGCACCAAACACGGACTGTTGCTGCCCGCTTTCTTATTAGCATGCGGGGGGCTTCTGTCTGCGTTTAACTTGGACACAGAGAATGTCCTGAAGCGACACGGGGACCCAGGCAGCCTGTTCGGCTTCTCTCTCGCCATGCACCGGCAGCTTCACCCGGAGGATAAGAGAATGTAAGGAAACTAAGTTTGGGCTTGAAGGGAAACACTGCCTGAGGCGACGCTCACATTTAAACTGCGCCTTCATCTTTTTATAACAACTCCAGTATCCATGCAATTAAGACGTTACTGCGGATTGGACTAAGAGACGCTCATTTTAGTTTCTTAAAGTGCTGCAGCACCAATTAGTGTCTTTTAATAACGAGGCTGTCAGCTATTTGGACATTAAAAAAAGTGTTATACACAGTAATATGAGCTCAGGTATGTCGCATGTTTTTGCTCTCCTCGCCTGAATTTCTTTAAAGCAATAAAAACCCATCGTTAATGAAATAGCCTACCTGCCGTATATACTTTTGCACCTGTCGTGAGTTAGACTCCAGGTTTGGACCTGTTAATATTTACACCCAGGTTACTCATTAGCAGTTTTACTGGACTTGCTCCAAAAATGTCCAATACGCGTGCGCAAAGAAGCAGACTTATTCCTTCTGATGTTTTCTCAGGTTAGACCAGTTTATCTAGAAACTAGACATATTATCTCTTTGGATGAAATGGTATTTAAGGAGGTATTTATTCATCAGAAATTCCACCTGCTATCAAAGAGACGCTGCATTTTTCTAGAAATCAGGACAGACAGTTTGTTCTTAATACAACAGAACTTTTTTTTTTTAACCTTAATAATCAGGGTATAGCTGTAAAAAAAAAATCTAATTCATGTTTTTATATGCAGGGTCTGAAAAATACTGACAAAAGCAACAGATTTCTATTTCCCATGGTTTTCTGCTCTCACTAGTTTGGAAACCCCTGGTAAAATGCCAGGTTTTTGTGACTTAAGCACAAAATTTAACAAAATTCCTTAAAAACAATTCCTACCTTTAATGAGACAAATAACCCGTGCAAGTCAGGTTTAAACAAACCGAGATGTTTGAGGAAAAGTGTAAAAAAAAGTTGCATTAACTTTGGTTGCATCCTTAAACAAATATTTGCTTAACCATTTTTCAGTCTTCTTGAGATAAAAGCTGTCAGTTATACTTTTCTTGATGTTGGTTTTTTGCATTTTTAAGCTAAAGCCATAGTTTACTGGAAGGTTATAAAAACCTAATTAATCATCATACAAAAGTAATGGCTAGGAACAGACAAATATTCTTGGTTCCCAGTTGGAAAAATGATAAGGTCACCCTCTTAAGGCGGAGTACGGACAGTTTATTAGCACTTCCAATGTTTTTGGGTCTTGTTACCTTCACATGGTGTCATGAAAATGCATATTTGTTAAAATGCTAATTTTTTGTCTTAATGCATGAAAGGGAGATACATATGCTATCAGTTTATATTGGTTTTAGTAGCTAGAAGCTACTGTTTTCCTATATACAATTCAGTTACCTCATGTGTGGCATCATCTCCAAGTTTGAGCTCAAATTGTGAAGCCGAATGCACACTATATTTATATACACACAGTTAAAAATGGTAGCAGCAGTTGCAGTTACTTTTCTTTATGTGGAACTGGGTTTTGTGATGTGAAGGATAAGCCATTACAAACACAATGTTTTTTAATCTTAAAGCCTTTAGCTATGTACTAGAAATCTGGAAGAAGAAATAGACTTGCCCTTTAGCATCGCAGTAAGTCTAAACATACACCAAAATCAACAAAAGAAAGGACAAGAAATAGGTATTTTAAAATTAATAGGTTTGGTAGAGTGAGCAAGTAGTGCTGCATAAAGATGTGACATCATGCAGACTTTTACCCATAAATACTGGACACAATAGTTAGATCAAAACTACCTTTATCTAACCATTTGTTGAAGAGTTTACACACTTGCAGTTATCTGATTTATATATCATATTTAATCTAAGGAAAAATCTGAAATGTTCAGCAGAATTGTACAAGATAAAAGTCAGTTTAAAAGGCGACGTTAAAAAAACAAACATTTATGATATCTAGCTTACACTGAAATACATTCCCAAAAGGAAAAAGAACATTTTCGTGAGACACAGACTTTATTTAAAGGAATATCTTTAGATAATAGATTAATCCTCTTCAGTGTTCGAAAGCTATAAGTTTTTTGTATTTTAAAGATAATCAACAGCAGTCTAAAATCATTAAAAACAATATAATTGCCCGTTAAAGTGGGGTTTGCATCAGATGCCTAACATTCGATTGGAATCTCTGGCAATCAAAGGGCTCAGTCATGTTTTCTTACCACATTTCTAAACATAGGACATTATGCAAATATGAAATATAAAAAAAGACATCTGACCAAAGAAAAGGAAAAAAACCCTCCTTTGTTTTAGAGCCATATTGCCCATACCAAAAACCATCCCTACCTGAACATCAGGGCAGATTTTTGCAACTATCCCCCAGACCTGTTAAGACTTTGATCTGTCTAAGACTCCAAATTTATCACATCAGATGTATGATTTCTAACACTCCTTTACTGCAGCTACACACACTGCTGCTTTTATTCCTTTTTCCAAGATGCATTTAAATGAAAGACACGTGGTCACCAGCACAAGACCAAAGTCACCACAGAGCCCCCCGTTGTTGAGATTGTAAAGTTAAAAACTCAACTGCTGAGCACAGATGGATCAGCTGGATAAATGTCAGCTGGTTCTAGTATCTCAGATGTTTAGATATGATGGTATTTATTAGTCTGGGAAAAAATGGTCTTAGACCATGGTGATCATTCTACTGCCATAAAGCTGTAAGCTTTGATAAATGTCATTTTGTGAATCCCTGTGTTTTGCTTGTGGATGTCGGCGTGTGTTCGCTTGTTTACCATGCTTTAATGATGCAAATGGATCCTGCAACTATGAGCACCATGTCTCTTCCTTGTTGTACATAATATATAACACCATTACATCCTTTGCTGAACTCCCTCTGGCATCCAATACGAAATGCAAAAAAAAAAAAAAAAAAAAAATGAGACAGGTAGTGAAATTGTGATTAATCTTTAAATAAAAGTGTTCTTGGAGGTCTTTTGCAACATGTATACTTAAGTGTTGCAGTGTTTTACAACTGGGTGTGCACACTGACTCAACCCTTTCATTGCTAGTCATTCATGCCGTGCTGCACAGTCTTTTATTTCCAAATAGGGAGTGTTATATGTACCTTCAGGATATGGTAGAACTCATATGGGTGCAAATGTATTTGTGCATATACATATCCTACAGGATATGCATATGCACTTATGTGTTTGATAATTAAAGAATGAAGGCAAACGCACACATATGCGGTTAGAGAGAGGAGAAAGCAACACAGCCAATTAGGGTGACTGGGAGGCACTGTGTAATTTTGTGCAGAGGTTAGTGTTGTATGTGGGAGCATGTGCTTTGTGTATTTGATAAAGAAGCATGAGAGTCAGATTTAGCCCCCGTTGTGGTCCCCTTAGGTTATTTGAGGTTATCAAACATCAAAGGGGAAGAAGCTAAAGGTAACAGCTTCAGGAATGTTGAAAGGACTGTAAATCTGTTTTACATCTGGGCACCAAACCCAGCTATTATTCAACCCGTCAAATTCAGCAGGCTCACTACGGAGGGGTGGATAGAGGCAAACGTTGGGTAACTCCTGTCATAGACCTGCGGATCTGCAATCCATTTGGCAGTTGATAGAGAACCACAAGATTCTTAGCAACACGCTCTGTTCAAGACAGAACGTCATCTGTTATTTGAACAGCACAACTTTCTCTTCAGAATGTTTCCCAGCAGACACTGGGAGTCTCTGTGCCATCTTTGGAAACCTGCACTGTCTACTTTATCAGACACACATTTTTAATTAGGGGTTGGACCTCTTCTACCTTTTGAACTCTTGATATTTCTCTAGATTTAAGTTTTCAAAAGCATTTCTCCAAGGTTTTGGTCTTGATTTTTTGATCATTGCAGGAAATAGTAAATTTAGATTTTTCTAACCCACATCCAGAATGCAAAACTCCCTTTTAAGCAGTGCCACTCTATTGAATTAAGATCTAGTGACTGTGGAGGTCGTTACAGTGTATTTAACTCACTCTTAAGTTCAAGGAACCTATTTGTGATGATATGAGCTTTATGTTATTATCCTGCTGGATGTAGACATTAGAAGATGGTTATACTATTTTTATAACGGAATGTTAGCAACAAAAGATCTGTGTCAGTGATCAAATGCTGCACAAAAAGAATAAAACCAATGACGAGGTTTAATAGAAAAATAAATAAAAGTCCAAAAACAATGTAAGATAAAAACTATAACATTAAAAACATTAAGTATAACAATAAAAGGCAATGGATAATCTGTTACAAAGGAGTAAAAGTGTGAAAGAAAGAAATGCTGCTTTAAGCACATGGATCTTTTATTTTTATAAGAAACATCCGCTGAGCATCTGGTGGTATACTTGTTTCACAGTGTAGGTGCAAAAAAATGAAAAGCTATCTGTCCTTCTGAAAGAAACATTCTTTTTGTGATGCTCATCAGCTAAGTTTTTACCCCACTTAATTATCTGAACTGTTGATACAAGACAAAATCCCTGCTCTCATGTTGTTTACACTAAACGCTGGTCCTAGCATCGGAATGTCAGAACTCAAAATCTAGACTCACTGGTAAATACAACATTGGTGGGAGGGTTGTCTGTTAGTGGTAAACATGCCCTGTTTACAGTCATTTTATTTTCATTCTCTCTCGTTCTAATCATTGCTTTGAACTTTAGAAATTGAAATTGCCCTTAACCACATCCATGTCTAATGCATTAGCTTTCTGCTATGAGATGCTGAATCTCTTTGGGGGTTAAGGAGGGTATCTAATAAAGTTGATAGTTAGGTTGTGGTTGTGTGTTTCTGTGCGTGTCTGTTGTCAGGACTGTTAACCACAGACTGTGGTTAAAGCCCTTCCTCTGCTGGTGGTGCATGATTAGAGAACAAACTTAGCGGCTGTCATTGGAGCAGTGGGTCAGTTTTATGACATCGTGTCAGCTCTTCAAAACCTCATATCTATAAAGTTGCAATGTGCATGTAAATGTCAGCTTTCAGTTTCCTTGAGTTGTCGTTCTAAATCATACAGTATCAAATGAAAATAATTACATCTTTATGCAATAACTAAGAATGTAGCTGGTTATAATCCACTCAATATTGCAGTTAAAGGATGGACAGTTTTAAAAGTCTGTTAATTCGTTTTGACGTAACAAAGACCCCAAACATAATGACTCGGATTCCAGGCATGGAAAAAAAAACTGTTTCTATCCCATCATAGGGAAAACTAAGTTCTCCCCACCTTTAGCAGTGCACATTGTTTGTATGACTTAATAACTTTCACACATTGCTGTGGGCATTTTTGCCCCAGCATTGTTTCAGTCTATTGTGGCTTGTGGGCATTTGTCTTTCCACAACTCTCTTAAAACCCCAGCTCTGGGAGATCATTTCAATCTGGTTAAAGTCTGGACTTTGATTGAGAATTTGCAGTGCTTTATTTTTCTGTTTCTTTATTTTGGTGCCATTCTGTTGTCGAGTTCCAGCTATGTTTGGAGTAATCATGTTAATAACCCAGTTTTGGTCCTTAATTGTTATATGAAAGGGATTTTGATTCGATTGATGGAGACTTCTCAATCCTGATCCTCAAGTTTCACTGCTCTGCATGTTTTAAATGTCTCTCTATTGCTGAACACCTGCTTACAATAATTACATAAGCTCTTCAGCAGCAATCAAGTCCTGCAGAAGCCTGTTAATCCTCCCATTCAGGTGTGTTGCACCAAGGAGATGTCTAAAACGTGTAGGACAGTGGTACTTGAGGACCAAGATTGACAACCACCGATAGATGGTGTGTTTGAATTTGGCGACTGCGTCTTCCGAAGGCCAGATTAGTCGGCTGATTACATCAGCGCTGCGCCGTGGTCTGTTAGGATTGCAAGATTCCTCATTATGCGGCAGACAAATTGCATCCTTCTTTTTGCCCGTTCAAAGGAAGGGTCCGCTATATCCTACGTAGCCTTGGATATCCTGTGAATCATTGCGAGTCCAAGCAAGGTGGTTGCTCCATGCTCAGAGAAAAAGGTAAATTAAGCAGAAGAGGGGTGAATATTATAAGAGCAGCTTAATATAATACAAGTATGTGAATAGTTTCAACTTAAATTTATGAAAATGTTTGTTTTCAATTATTATTAAGTAAGATATGTGGCTGGTAATATGTAATTTATTAAAAGGTTCTATCAGTCCCTGTGCAAAGGGGTTTGTCTAATATTTAGGCACAGATTCCAATATAACTGCAGTGTGGGGACTATAGATATGATATTCATGACTAAGTTACTTTTGCTGAAATTCCTCAACAATGTAATTAGCATACAGAACCGTAGTAAGAAGTTCGACATCCATTCTTTGCCTGTTTTATGTGTCAGCTGTCACGGTTGCTAGGCGACAGAGCATATGCTAAGTGAGAGGGGGTGGTGGCCAGAGAAGGCTGGATCTGTTTGAATCCACAGCTAAACTCTTCTGGCCAACTTATTTACACTGCCCTCCAAGAACCCGGTCCCGGTAGAATGGGTCCTTGGAGGACACAGACACTGAAATCGAACACAACTGCTGAAAGAGCATCACTTTTCAACTCTCCGCTACCAGTCTATAAAGCTGAGATGAATTTATCAATTTGTGCTGAAACTCATGGCACTAGGCTTATGGCTTACAATCTCTCTAAAGAAAACAGCACAAGGTGTCCTATGATTGATCCACATGCAAGCAATATATCTTCTCTATTTCTTTATTATTGGTAACATAAGCAAATATTGAAGTATGACCATTAGACCTGTGGGTCATGAAATTTCACAGCATGATTAGGGTGAATTTGTACTTTGGAGGATTAGAAACTGTCTTGCATATTTTCCCACTGTGTATATGTTTTCACTGCAGAATTATATATTTCGTACAGTTTTAAAATGTATAATTCATTCATAATAAATATAAACTTACTTCTCTAAAATAATTTGATATATTTTTTTACTTTCTTAACATAATAATGCCACAGAATAGCAAACTCAAAAAAACTGCTTCATAGAGATAGGTGCACCTGGGTATAATCAGTTGAGTATATTCAATTAGTAGAAATGAGTTTGTACTTATAAGCCATAAGTGTTTTGTTCCCCCCTGACACAACAACCATAGATACTTCCTTTCTTTGTACGTGACCTCACCGTCCAAAGTTTCCATTAGTAGAATGAGCAATTCATGGTATTGTCCAGTTTAATCCCTGATTGTTTATTCCATTGTAGAATGTCTCTAGCCTCCTTTGATATCAAATTTCAAATGTAACACAGTCCCTTGTAGATTCAAAAAACTGCGATTGGATGCATGATGGGTGGATGAGGACACAAATTATAGTTGTGTGGTTCGGAAACCAGGGCCAAACCAATCTTGTGGTTAGGAATGGGATTGGGATGGGATGGGATTGTACACTTGTCTGTTTTGCAACAATTCTGTTCCTACATGCAGCTGCTTATCGCTCCAGTCTTGTAAAAGTCATGTCTTAAAATGCATTAAAGGTGCATTGACAGCATGCAGTTAAAATAGCAAACCTTCTCAAAACTCCTCTCATACCTTTTGAGTATTCAGTTTTGGATCATTTATAATAATTTATTCTGCTACTTAAGGTTAAGTAAATTGTTTCAGATCTTCCAACTGTAGAGTGAATTAGTTAGTTGTAGTTTCGCTCAGTAAATTTCTTCTATGCATCTAAAAAATTTTTTTTCACGCTTGAAACAGTTCCACAATTTCATCTGAAGATTTTTTTTCCTCCCATTTCCTGTCAGTAACAGATGAGCTAAGGTAAAGATTAAACCAAGTGAGAAAAACAATACCCCAGTGGTATTTGCCCAAGCATAAGAAATCCACAATATAGATTTATGAAATAAGTGCAGCTTATTAATAGTTTCAGCTGCATGTATACATTTTATGTACATACACTAAGAATAAGATTTTACAAACAATATAAGAATGAGCTATTTAAAGTTATAAAAATAACTTAAGTTCATAATGTTTTCAAACCCCATAAAATTGACAGTACACTTTGGATTACTTTTCCTTTTTGAACAAGTCTTGTTAAAAGGGTACATTTCATAAAAAATAAAGCCTGTTATTTTGAGCTGTTCACTGCTAAAACTGAATATTTAATGTAATTTATGTATTGAATTAGCAATATAATATTTAATGCAATCACAGATGTAGTGTCAAAAAGCTGATGTTTACGAAATAACATGCAAAAATGAAAGCTTCTATCATCCTAATGATTTCTACACTAAATATTGAATTTTATATTAAAAAAAAGAGAGTGAAACTTAAAAAAAACGTATAAACGTGGAATAAGGTTTTGGGTAAGTTTTCTATTTCAACTATTAGTTTTTAACTTGTCTGGAAAGCTAAAGCTAGGCTAATAATAAAGATGTCTGTGTTCACTTAGATTTAATTTTGAACAGATTTTTTTTTTGTTTTTGGCTTGAATATCATGTAAATCAGGGGCAAGTGTAAGAGGGATTTTAATGCCACATTAAGTGTCGAAGGGGCAGAACTTACAATATAATAATAAAACTATAATAATAATAATAACATTCAGAAGCCATTTACAACAACTTGTTGAAAAGATACTGATAAGGAACTACTCATTTAATTTCCCTTTAGGATTAGTAAAGTACTTTGGAAACAAAAAACAATATTTGACTTTTCTGCAAATGTAAGCTTGCTTATATCATGAGCTTTGCTGACATTACATGAACAAACCATATCAAATGTTTTTTTTTTTTTTTTTTTTACAAATAATCCGGATAACTGTCTGCTGTTTCAGTAGAAACCAGGTTTCAGGCATCCAGAGGATAGGACTGAAAAAGGCTTTTGATTTGGGTTGAATTTGAAACCGTAGTGATCCACTCCTGACTATTGTTTAACACATGCAAGTGGGGAAAATTCTGCTGCACCCTGATAAATGAATTGTCTATGCGGTTAAATTGCAGGTTACTGGTTGGAGCACCACGAGCCAAAGCGTTGCATGGTCAAAAATCTAACGTAACAGGAGGAATCTACCATTGTGAAGTGAGCTCCACCTCTGATGCATGCACAAGAGTTGTCTTTGATAATGATGGTAAGATGTATCCTTACACACATGGTGGGGTTGATAGAGACAAACAATTGATCATAACATGTATCTTAAATATTAGCAGGAATAAATTGTTTTTAGAATTTTTATTTTTTTTGTCATCAAAATATATTTGTTTTTAATATCACAATATTGAGCCTTTCATTGAAAATACAATGATTATTTTGAGTTTAGCCCCTTATGTAATCACCCTAATGTATTTTATTCATAAAAAAAAAAAAAATAAATACATGAAACAAGCATAAAACTAACTATTGATGAAGTTCTTTCCGATGTGCTATTGCAGCGGAACTCTGTGTTGAAATGTATCCCCTCCACGATGAAATTCAGACTGCTATGATTGTTTTTTTTATCAGTGTATCGGGCCTTTGACAGACATCTGGGCTCCCTCCCCCAGGGCTCTGTCAAATGCATTTCACCACAAACTTTTGTGCTAAACAACTTCAAAATGACACTGAAAGCAGGCAGATACACTGAGTTTTAGTGAGTGTGATGGCTGTGGAAACTGTTTTAAAACACAGTTATTTGGACATATCGTGAAATCATGAACACCGCACCCTTCTGATGCAGTCATCAAATCACCCTGAGCATTTTCAGGCAGGTCAACACATGAGACATTAACACATGCCATGCTCGCATTAGACAGAGAGGCAGTTTTGTAAGCAGGGGTGAAGTGATCAGCATTGCTGAGCTGGTGAGTAGCTTTGTGCTGCAGGTGGTTCAGAGTAATGTCTCTAGTTTAAACCTGGTAATTTGCATATTAAGGGGAGATATGAACATCACCTGAAACATAGAGAAAAAAAATCAAAAGATAAAGAAGTGAGCTTAATCAGCAAAATAAAGATGATAGGGGTGTAGTTTTAAAGAAAATAAAAAAATTGATATAAACTTGACAGACATTACAAGTTGGTCTGTTGTGATGACTCCTGGCACTTAGATGTAGATGTATGAAACATGAATTATGAATAAATAAAGCAGGGGTGTGCATTGACTAAAATTAATTGTGATTTACTTTTTTCTTATTTAAAAACCTACTGTTTTCTTAAAAGCTAAAAAAAATCACCATCTTTGGATAAACTTTGTTATATTGTCACAGGGGCTTAATCATCATGAACAGCCTTATGTGATTATTCCAGGACAGTCTAATCCAATGACAGATGGCTTTTTCAACAGTCTTGGTCAGAAGGATAATATATGTGTGTATGTGTGCAAGAGCAGTCAAATTTCTGAGCTCATTCTAACACATACTTTCATCAAGAGCCTTTTCTTGTTTTTTTTGTTGTTGAAAACTTTGCTTTTTCTCTATTTCTGTCTCTTTAAAGAGGATTCAAGAAGGGAAAACAAGGAAAATCAGTGGATGGGGGTGACCATCAGCAGCCAGGGACCGGGAGGCAAAGTTTTAGTAAGAGTTCTTAACTTCTGGAATATGTTTCTTAAACAATTCAAATCTGTCTTTCATTACCTGTATCACTTCCTTTTCCTGGCAGACCTGTGCCCATCGCTACATGCGGCAGACAAATCCAAACTCCCCTCTTGAATCCCGTGACATTATCGGTCGATGCTATATATTGAGCCAGGACCTAACTATCGATCCTGCTTCAAGTGAAGACGGCGGAAGCTGGCATTTCTGTGCCAACCGAAACAGAGGCCATGAAAGGTTTGGTTCCTGTCAGCAGGGCCTCTCTGCTACATTTGACAAGGACTTCCACTACTTCATCTTTGGGGCTCCAGGAGCTTACAACTGGAAAGGTAGTTCACTGTGTATATTGGATGTGATGTTGCAGCAGGCTCACATTCAAAGTTGCATGTGCATGCTATCCGTTTTATTGGCCTTTGATTTATTAAAACAAACCAAAACATTTGCTACTGATTCACAGACTCTGTCATGTGTTTAACATTATGCTACATAAAAAAAAAAATTCTGTTCTGAGTTTGATGTGCTTTCTTGATCCAAATTCCTCTGGTTTTCTCCTCTCATCTGCTCCCTTTTTAAGGCATGGTGCGTTTGGAACAAAGAAACGACACCTTTATAGATATGGGCATCTATGATGATGGACCATTTGAGGTGGGAGATGAGACTGAGATGGATCCTGACCTGGTCCCTTCTCCTGCCAACAGTTACATGGGTAAAATATGCGCTTCTATGTTACAAAAGAAACTTGAATGTGTTTTGTAAAGGTTTTATAATAAGGTAGTACATAATAGTTTTTACATTTCATTACAAAGAAAATCCCAAAGGTGTGGTGTGTAGTTGTATTTAGCCCCTTTACTTTGATACCACTGAATAAACCCTAGTGCAACCCACTTCCTTTGGTAGTCAGCTAATTTGTTTTGAATCAATGTCATTATAAATGCAGTTACATTTTTAATAGAACATTAGTCAACAAACAGCATTGTGAAAGCTTGAAAATGATATGATGATGGGTCAAAGAAAGCAAGCAGTAACCATGGAAATAGTAAAGAGACCTTTGTTACCCTATAGGGCCGGTAGAGATACACAGCTTAGGTGGGAAAACAAGTTGAAAAGGAAACTACAAGGTGTTGAACTCCAAAAAAAATCTGGACTTCAGCAAAGAATGGCACTAGTGATGCCATAATTCCATAAATACTCTCATCCCTAGTTTTAAAGACTACATTTCACACTTCCCCTAACATAACACAATAAGGCTTCAGGAAGTAGGGATGCTAGCATGATGGGAAGATGGATAGAGCTTAATACGGCGGCACGTTGGGAGAAATCCAATTACAGATGAGCAGAAATCCCCTTCAAGCATGACAAGTACCCTAATAATAAAACAGCTGACTAGTTTGGATCAAAGAATTATAGCATGTTAGAATTTCCAGGTCAAAGTTCAGAACTGAATATAACAATTAAGTACTGAAGTCGACAGACCTTTATCTGACTGCTGGAAAAAAAACCAACCTGGATAATAAGCTTGGATGCATTATGCGATTAGTTATCATATTTCAGGTCTGTGGCATTCCACTGCATATTGACACTATGATTGGCCAGTTAGGTAGACTTCTATGAGCATGTTAGATTTAGCTTTAGTCAGTAAAAAAAAACCCAAGATGATTGGATTGACATCTTGTAATGGTGAAAAAGGGAAATTGGTAGGTACTGTCACAAGCAGTTGCAGTCATATGTTGTCCAGGTGATAGTGAAAAAAAATTAATTAAACATCTATCCATGCATTTCACAGTAGATTTCTGCTCTATTTCCATTGCATATATTTTTTATTAGGACAGATTATGTGGCAAAATGTGATATGTTCAGGGGTTTTAGAATGAATATTTTTGGAAACTACCTGAAATAAACACCAAACATCTTTGTTACCTACTTAATCTCCTTTTAAGTGAATTATTTAATGGTCCTTTTGTTTTAGGTTTCTCTCTGGACTCTGGGAAATATTTGACTAAGAAGGGCCAGCTAACGGTGGTGGCAGGGGCTCCCAGAGCTTACTACAGTGGGGCAGTGGTTCTGCTAAAGAAAGGCGAGGAATTCAGCAGGGTACTGCTTGAGGAATTCACCCTTAAAGGGGAGGGCCTGGCTTCATCTTTTGGATATGATGTCACTGTGCTGGATCTTAATCGAGATGGGTAAGAGTGGAGAGCAACCTTTACACTGATAACTGCTGCACTAGTCTTGGTATTAGCTGTACTGTATTCTCCTTCTTTTTTAGATGGGAGGACATAGTAGTAGGAGCTCCTCAATACTTTGAGAAGGATTCAGAAATTGGAGGAGCTGTCTACATTTACATCAACAAGGCTGGAAAGTGGAACAAAGTCAAACCAATCAGAATAGATGGACCTAAAGATTCTATGTTTGGCCTAGCTGTGGAAAACTTGGGAGATCTTAATCAGGATGGATTCCCTGGTAGGGAGGCCTTATTTACATATGTAAATGTATATGTGTAGCTATATTTGCTATTTTTGATTACATTTCAAGCCTGTATGTTGAAATATGTTTAAGGCAATATGTCTTGCTGTCAGATTTTGCAGTAGGAGCTCCTTATGAAGGCAATGGTGAAGGCAAAGTTTACATCTACCATGGATCAGCCACTGGACAAATCTCAGAAAAAGCATCACAAGTATGTAAACTGGTCTAATACCTTTCACATCTTTCTAATTTCTGACCTGTGTCAGCATTTTGCTTTGTTGTATCGGGAAGTTACCAAGTCTTGCAACATACGCTGTCTGCTCAACAGAAAGAAAGACTTTTTACATCATGTTGATAGTACAGTTACGGGCCAGGATTATATTAGTGAAGGAAGAAGGTTTTAGGTGCTGTGGTCAGTCTGCCTTCGTAAGATCCAAATTATGTATTATATTATAGCCCCTGATTGTGTGGCATTGATGGAGTTCCAATACAAAAGTTTAAGTTTTATTTAAGCTTCTCAGTCTACATATTAACATATTTTTCAGTATCAGTAGCTTTTACTTGCACTGGGAAAATGACCTAGAAATAAGTAAAAATTTATTAAATAAAGTGTTTTTACCTTTAATTTCAGTAGGTAAATGAGACAGTCTTCCAATGGAATGAGTATTTTTACTCTTGAAATAAGATTAGATAACATGCACTTGAAATAAGACAATGCAGTTGTGTTTTCTTATTTTATGTGTAAATTGTCTTGTTCCATTGGCAAAATGTCTCTTTTACCGCCTCAATCGCAAAAACATATGCTTTATTTTAAGAAAAAAAACGACTTACCTAGATTTAGATGATTTCCACAGTGTGTGCCTCCTCAAGGATCCATTATAGGGCTCTTTCGTATTTGTTATAAAAGATGCCTTTACGGTACATTAGTAGAGACAATGTTTCTTTCCATTTTTTTTTTTTTGATGATGAAGATCATTTGTAAAGAAATGCTATTGTGCTTATAACCTCAAGCTTTCTATCTTGAAAAGATAACTGAGAACAAACACTTTAAATAAAAAAAATATTAAACAATTCCAGATGATGTTAGTATATTATTTGACTTTAAAACAGGATGGCAGGTTTAGCAGAATTTAATCTTTCTCTCACCAAAATTGCTCAAGTTGCATGCATAAAGAAAGCCTTTTATTGACACATCATCACATCATACACATGTTGTTTGTAAATGTTGAGACATCACTGGCTTCAGCCATATATGAACATTACTGTATGTACTTCCATAACAGGGACAATCCCAGAGCTTTCTCTGTTAAGAATGATAATCTCTGTCTGCCAATTAGCCTCTATACTTTAGAATGTTGAACCATGGGTAGGAAAACTACGTAATACAAACATCAATGACAAAAAAACATTCCTAACACATTCAAATTGTCAACACAAAGGTGACGATTCTTTTAAACCTTTATTAGACTTCTATGAAATTAAGGATAAATTTCAATTTCCTGATTTCAATCATAACAGAATTTAATTTAATTGTTTGGAAGATCTAACCTTGATACCCTTCTCCAACATTTGTCTTCCTATGCCTGCACTTTAGTATGAACAGTTCCTCTGTACAAATGGAGATGCGTTGTTTTTTTTTTTATATAGGTTACCCAAATCTTGACAAAGCTTTTCTTTAGGTCTTGTCTAGCAAGTCTTCCGGAGTGAGCCTGTTTGGATATTCTTTAGCAGGCAACGTTGACCTGGACAAGAATTCCTATCCAGACATGGCTGTTGGATCCCTCTCAGACTCTGTCTTTATCTATAAGTGAGAAAGATATTGAATTAATCAAAATTTTTTTCTGCCTATCATTTGAGAAATGCTCACTAAACTATTTTTTTTTCACAGAGCTAGACCAGTTATCAACATCCAGAAGAAAATCACTTTTTCACCAAGCAAAATCAACCTCAAACAGAAGAACTGTGGCAACACTTTCTGGTATGTTGAAAAGTGGTTCCTATTTATTAAAACCAAAACTTTAGTTTGAACCTAAGTACAAAGTAATCAATTTTACGTACATTCACTTCAGTCTATTTTATTTAGAGAGCAATACAGATGTTTATGTCAGCTGCAGAATCATGGAAAGGAACCAGGATCTGAAATAGCCATTTTGATAGGTACTGATAGAAGCTCTGAGGCAGTTGCAATCTTAAATATTGTTAGTGGCTAACACCCATTTGCAATAGTGAACAGTAAAGTAATTTGTGTTTTTACTGTCAAATAACAGGGTATTTTGAGAATTAAATGTTCTTTTTAACTCAAAACAAATTAATTAGTGGCTTAGAACCTTAACATTTAGCTTGTTCTGACACATCTAGGAATGCTCTACCTCACATCCTTCAGGTCACTTTCCTGCTGTAAGGCCGTAAATATGTGTGTCTTTATATTTTGCCTAGGGAAACACATTATTTTTACAGTGGAATCCCTTCCCCTCAGCCTAAATAAAGGGATGTCACTTTGAACAGGGTAGACAAACCAGAAGAAAATTCAGACTAAAAACACATTTTTTAGAGAGGTCATTCACTTTGCTATATAAAAAATATTAGTTTTATATTCAACTTTCCATTCATTTTCTTACATTAATTACTTTATTATTTGATTGCCTTTATCCAACTGCTATGCAGGCTACTTTTCTTTTTCTTTATTCCTTTTTCATGAATTGTCTTACTTCTGAAAAGTGCAATATAAACTTAAATTGCTTTGGGGCCAAACATGGACCCCCAAACACCAGAGACATCCGACCCTGTGAGATTATTCAGGGTCAGGTTGGATGTAAAATGAAATGTGAATCTGAGAACCTGGACTCATTGCCTGTGTTTAGGCTTGAAAAAACACTGCTCGAAATGAAGTTCCTGAGTGGGATATTCCATACTTCAGAAAAACTCATGTCCAAATCTCTCTAGCTTCCCTGATGACGTGTCTAGAACAAGCTAAAAGTATTCTCAAACCAGGGATGCCACCTGAAGTTAGCTAAAGAGATTCCAGAGGACTATCCTGGTAATGGTGGTGTTTTATTATATATATTTGAAACTATACTGTAGCTATCTCCGGGGTTTTGTCACAGTTTTCACATATCACCTGTCTTGTTTATGATATTGATGACTTCAAACTATGGTTATAGAGTGGATGTATTGTTTGGGAACCTTGAATTAATTTTTGTTATTATTATTTTTATTATTTATTAGCTTCCCTAAATATAAGTCTTGAGTTCCTTGTATTCAGCTACTTTAGAGGTTATAATCCCATTAAATGGCTGATATTAGTAGTTATCAGTTCCATAGAATGGCTACAGATTGTGCCCCTTGCTACTAGCAGACTCAGTAGGTTATCACCAAATTCTTTAATCTAATTTTTTTTTTATCTATTTACTGTTTAACCTGAACATAATTTTAGTAGGTCATCTATTTTAAAAAAAAGTTGCTCATATCGAACAACCCCTCCCAAAAAAAAAACGCTTTAGAACACCTCTTTAAATGCTCTGACTGAAACATGTGGAATTCAATCAAAGTAAAGCTTTAATAGGCAGTTAAAAAAAAAGGTAGGCTGCAAATAAAGTAGATAAAGAGTTTGAAGTCTGTAAATAGTAAGTAAAACTTGAGGCTTTAGTCGTTGCCGCAGCAGCTATTATCAACAATAAGCTGCATATTATCAGCCATAAGAAACCGACTAGAAGGTAGAGGAGGAGCAGCCTGAAGCTATTCTATGTGAATGATAACGGCTAATAACAGCCAGTTAATGAATTATCACATCCGAAATAGATGAATCATTCGGGTTGTTATGTATGTGAAGTTTGCCGACATAAATCAGGGTTCTGAATCTTCATGTAGTTTGTTAATTTATGGTTATATTAGGGTATATTGTTTTTGGTATGAGAATACTTTAGGTATCTCTTAGAAGAAGAGCTTGGAGAAAAGATATGTCTAAATATATATCATGTACAGGCAACTTAGACAAAAATACTTAGATGGGAAATGCGTTTTTTAAAAGAATAAAATATGATTTTAGCTGATGTTCTTACTGTTAGAACCTTAAGGTCAATATTTGATAGTTATGGATGTTTAAGTTAGATGATTGTTATATGTTATTAATATATATGTTTTTATCCATCATAATTTTTATTCTGGATGCTTGTTACTGTAGACATTTGCTGATTCTGGTTGTGCTTAAACTGCTTTGTATCCACAGCTTGAAAGTTAAGACGTGTTTCAGCTACTCTGCTAAACCAAGCAACTATGCTCCAAAGCTAAGTAAGTTGAGAAATGTTGCTACATTTTTAAGAAAGATTTTATTACGCTATTATGTGTGCTTTTTTACAAGCAACAGAAACTTTGTTCAACCTTTTAGTAACTCTCTGCTGTAACTTACGCTATGTATCGTCTCTCCTCTAAAGCGGTAGCCTACTCTCTTGATTTGGATGCTGACCACAGGAAAAACAGCCTTGTTCGAAGAGCAATTTTCACAGAACCTTCTGACTCCAATAATAACTATGAATCCAAAGGGACTATTACCATGGACACAAAAGGAAAGGAACAGTGTATTACACGTGAGATTGCTTTACAGGTAGTTGCACTTTCAGAGTTGTTTTGTTAATAAATCATAAGTTGAAAAACACCAAATGTAATATTTCTTTTCCTGCAGGAAAACATTAAAGACAAACTGCGGGCGATCCCTGTTGATGTTTCTGTGACTATTCAAGATGCTAATCGTAGGCGTAGACAGAGCCAAACTTCTCAGCTTTCACCTGTCCTTGATGCCGATGATGCAAAGCCAACTAGAAAAGAGGTATGTTCACAGATAACTTCTTGTAAAATGAATTTAGAAAAAAGTTGCAGTAATGTTTCACATTCCACAATTTGACCCCGCCCTTGTCTCTTGTTTGCAGGTGCAATTTCTTAAGGAGGGATGCGGAAGTGATGATGTGTGTCAAAGCAACCTGCTTGTAAAATATCGCTATGGCTACAGAACAATTGATGAAGATACATTTGCGCCTTTGGAGATGTAAGAAAATATTTTTACCCTTATTCTTCTCATTTTGCTTATATTTCTAGTAACACCCCTGTTGCTAGTGATAAAAAGTACATTCCCTTTCACATTAAAATAAATGAGTTAGAATACATTGCGTGCTCACCATGAATTATGTTTCTAAAGGGAGAATGGCGTGCCGGTGATCTCACTTAGCAACCAAAAAGACATTGCCTTGGAGGTGACCGTGACCAATCTAAATGGAGATGATGCATATGAAGCTTCTGTAATTGCCAACTTCCCCAGTTCTTTGACCTATTCTGCTTACCGCGTCTCACCAGAGGTGGGTTGTATATTCCCCAACATGATCATGCAACACTAGGCTCAAAATGTATGGTTCTTTAGTGTGATTTCCTTTGTCAATTGCAGGAGCTTCAAGTAACCTGCATTGCAAATCAGAATGGATCTATGGCTGATTGTGAGCTTGGGAATCCATTCAAACGCAACTCAAGGGTGAGAAGACTTTTTTTAATATACTTTTTTACTTATTTTAAATTGTTAAAAATTGAAATACAAAATTTTGTTTGCTTGATACAGACGACCTTCTACCTTATTCTGGGTACAGCGGGAATCCCTATTAGCACCACTGAACTGGAGATTGAACTTAAGCTACAAACGTAAATATCTTATTCTGTGCAATGGCTCTGACTAGTTTTCTGATTCATCAGTTTATGCCCTTTTGCTAATTCCCAATCTTCAGTCCTTCCTGAGACTGGCATTGCTAATTATCCATTGGCTATAAAAACTGAAAGTTGTCTAACATTTAAATTTCACAGGACGAGTAAACAGCTGAATCTATTGCCTGTGAAAGCAAAGGCAAAGGTGTTCATAGTGTTGCAGCTTTCTTTAATGGGGTAAGGATATCGAATGAGTGCAAAAAAACTCGCAGATGTATTATCCAGGCAACTGATTGTGCTTGACCTTCCCACCAGACAAGTCCAACCATCTCAGCTTTACTTTACTGGGACTGTCAAAGGTGAGATGGCTATGAGGACTGAAAGTGACATTGGCAGCGCCATCACACACCAGTTCAGGGTGAGTTTGGGAAGCCTGCATGTCTGTCTTTTACATGATCTTTATTTATTGTATCTTTATATTAAATATCTTCAGAATTTTCTTTTTTACTGCCTTCAAAAGAAACATGTTAATCTACTGATTTAAAGGTAATTAACTTGGGAAAGAGACTGACAGACCTAGGAACTGCCACCCTCCAAATAGAATGGCCAAAGTCTACAAAGGATGGAAAGTGGGTACTCTACCTGATGAAGATTACAGCTACAGGGGTGGAGGAAATAGACTGCACGCCACATGAGGAGAACATTCTAAACTTGGTGAATAATTATGCTCACAAATTGACCATAACCTGCAAACTATTCATACACCTCATTTTTTGAAGTTTTGTGATATTAGAGGAACAACTTTCAGTGTTTTGCAGAGATTTTTGATGATAAACCAAAACAGTGCATAATAGTAAAGTAAAAATGAAAATAATATTTTGTTTCCTAGATGAATATCTGAGTAGCCTGCAAGTCAACTGGATTTAAAAAAATTTGTAGAACCACATTTTGTTGCAAATATAGCTACAGGTTTATGGCATTTTAAGGGATACACATCTTCAAAGCTCCTTCTTGAAAAATGGCATAGACTTAACCCTGTAAATATTGAACCATTGCTATAATCTCAGGGGAATTTTTGTCTTTATTTTTAACTGGACTATTCTAACACGTGGATATCTGTATTATCATTATATGCAACTTTTTTTTTTACAACTAGGAGTGGGTAATTCACAACTCAAAAGCTCAAATAATACCTTAACCAAATTCCCAAATCCCATATGTTTTGAGAAGAAGACACAATTTATGGAAAGCAGGGGTGAAGAGGAAAGAGAGAATGATGAAATTTAAACCATAGCTTCCATTTTTATGATAGACTGTGAGATTTTTGGAAAGCAGCTTAAATCTAAAAAGAACCCAGTCAGAATATCAAGAATGTAGAGCTACATTATGTTTTCCCTGAGGCATCGCCTCAGGATCATATTCCAGACTCCAGTGTATTTCTGCTGGGCTTTCCAACCATAGTACAGTAGCAGAGAAAAAATGATGTACCCAGAGAGTTCAACATTTTTTAATATGATATCTGCTTACATTTTGCAATCAGATGTTGCTGAGACATGATGTGATCAATTCAAGTTTTGCTAAGATATTGACACAACACCCCAGTGCATATTTCTTAAAGGATTGCTTTCTTTTAGACTTCATCGAGCCTATGTCTGATTTGTTCCCTCTACATGACTTAAAGCTGCACTTAGAAAAAACTATATTTATAGATTCTAAGATGGTATACTCTATTTAATAAGTGGACAACTTTTGGAAAAAAATGATTGGATCAGCTTTTAATCAGGAGCATTAGTATTGATTGCTTAATACAAATGCATGCTATGTATAAATTGAATTTTTATTTTAAAATACTTATCTGATGTATCATTATGTACTGCTTTTTGTTTCTCTATCACAAAAAATACATACACCTATATTTTTTTATGTAATGTACCAAATGGGAAAAAGTGTGGGGTGTATGACTAATTTTGCAAAGCATTTTATTTCTTTTTGACAGGTGCAGATGTTAGAGTGTGCTATAACTGATTAATGGTTTGGTCTGCTTTAAGGATCCAGTTAACACTAGAATAAGGAGAACAGTAGGAAACACCAAGGGAGGGATCGATTACACTTTTTCACGCTTTGTGGATAAAAAGGAATTTGAAACTTTGGTAACTCAACACAACTTTTCTTTCATCTTCACTTTTTTTCATGTCCCTCCAGTTAAAGTGAAAACTCTAATTGTGTCTCTTTTGTGTGTTTGCAGTCATGTGACAATAAAGCAACATGTGTGACAATAAAGTGCCCCCTAGGGGGCCTAGACAGTAACGCAGTAATCACTCTGACCTCCCGACTATGGAATAGTACCTTTATAGAGGTAATCCAGATAGACATTGTTAATACAACTGCTGCATATGGGTTTAAGACTAGAAGCCACATTAATGAAACTGAAAAATTATTAAGCTTTATATTACAAAGCTTATTATTATTTTAATATACTTTTGCAGACTTGCAAAAGTAAAGAAATCTAGATTGATGTAATACACACGTTGACATAAGATAATGTGACTGTATGCAAGATTGTTTTATTTTATGCATTTCATCACCATATTCTATTTAAGTCATGTGTTATCACTGCATGTATGGGAACCCAATACACTTTTTAGTGAATGTGAAGGAAATATTTTGATAAAATCTTAATAGAAATAATAATGATTGAGGTAAAGATTTTTCCTAATTCTTATAAGTTCACCTATAACAGCCTAAAATGATGTCTCCCCCTCCCCTTTAAACAGGACTACTCCAAGTTACATCATGTGGAGGTGATTGTGAAGGCTTCGTTGCATGTTGATAGCATGACAAGGAACACAATGTTAAAGAATGCTGAGACACAGGTAATTGTCATAAAATAACCCTTTCTTTTTCCTTTTTTCCTTTAAAAGTTGGCACACAAGGTCAGGAAATGAAGCTAGAAACTACCAGTCAGCTTAGTTTCTGGGTGTAGTGATGGACTCAAACCTGAACCTTCAGAGGCATATAGAGATGGTAACAAATTTGTCTTTCTATCACCTAAAGAACATCTCCTGGATTAATGTCTCAGTGCTTGAAAAACTATTCAGTGTGTTTATTTTAGTAGAATTGATTACTCCAACGGTGTCTTGACAGGTCTGCCTCAAAAGTCAATCAGACAGCAGCTGCAGCTGATCCAGAATGCTGCTGCATGGGTCTTCACTAAAAAAAGAAAGTGGGGCACATCATTCTAGTTCTAAAGTCGTTACACTGGCTCTTTGTATCTCAGAGAACAGACTTTAAATATTTTTGTTAGTCTATAAATAACTCAGTGGCTTAACACCGAAATCCATTACATACTTGTTGTCATTGGATCAACAACCCAGAGCTGACAGGTCTTCTGACTCAAATATACTCTACATACCCAGAACATAATATGGCGAAGCAGCTTTTATTGTAGTCCCTATGCTCCACTAATCAGGAATAAACTCCCAGAACACACTAAGAGTGCTGCAACACTTAGTTGCTTTAAATCAAGATTAAAGCATATTTGTTTCAAGTGGCCCTTGACTGAGCAATCTTTATATAATTAGATATCCTTTTAGTTTCATTTTATATAATCATCTTATTTTAATCGTTTCTTTCGTTTCGACTGTTACCTCTATACCACTTCAATGCCCTTTTTTTTTGTTCATGAACTAAACTTTGAATCATCTTGCTACTAAAACATGTTATATAGGTAAACTTGCTTGGCCTTGCCTAGTATCAGTATTAACATTTGGATCTGTTAATACTGTTATTTGCTTGTTTTGGTTTATTTTGATCAACTCTGCATAACAGCTTAAAACTTTTCCTGTACGTTTTCCATCCATCCATCAATCCATCCATTTTCTGAAACTCTTACCCAGTGCTGGTGCCTATGTTGGGCTAGAGGCGGGGTTACGTCCTGGACAGGTTG